GAGTGCAAAACATATGATAAAACTGCTACCTTTCGTCAAATGTCAATCCAATATCTTGAAGTAATTCAGCCAGTGTGCTTGAATGAGCCGCTAGAACTTCATCGTCAGGTGTTGAAGTGAGAATATCGAATAAACGATAAAATAACTGCTCACAAAAACTTCCCACTGATACTTTCGATTCATTCGCTGAGAACAATGCCAGTAAACAATCCAAATTAGACGAAGACCAAGCTGAAGTGAACACCATATGAGGGGTAAAAATTATGTAGGTAAATGTTTCGCAACAATCCAATTCAGCAATTACTTTCGTTCAATCGTTTCACATCATCTTTTACACATTCATTCTCATAAACATGATTTTTGGTGACAACTGAGATGTATTTAGGTTTTGCTCCAACCAAAAGCCATTTGAAACCAAACGAATAACACGATGAGATGAATGTGACACGAATGAAATAGATGAGACCTTTCGGCTGTGAGAGGAGTGGCTCCAAATAAACCAGCATGAAGTCCTTAGTTACTTCATTGTGTATTGCAGCACATAGAATCGGTATTATTGTTGGATTATCTGAAATTGCTGGAGAACTTCATGAAAAGTTAACGGAAAATCCGGAACGTTTCAGCCATATAATGATGAGAGGTTCGCTGCATAACTACAACTCGTTCACTACATCGATGCTTTGTCCGAGCACGATTAGTATAGGTAATCTTAGCATAGGTAATCTGCTGATTTGTGTATGATTGTCGTCTATTGTCATTAATTTACATACACACAAACTCTATATAAGGACGAGATCTCATTGTCGTGGTGTGTCTTGTCTCGATCCTAAGTAAAGGATCGTCTTATCGGGTTTCGTCGTAATAAAGGATTTTCTTCATCGTCGTGTCGGGTTATTTGTCGCTCATCAGTTAGCGACATAACACAAAATAAATCAACTAACAATGAATCTTTCAGTTGGTGAGAATCGTTAACAAACACACGTCCCTATATGACAGTTACTAAGAATCAATCACGAAACAAACAAACCTTTCATTGGATCAATATGCTTCGGTAACAATTTAATCAGAAGATCCCAATTGTGAAGAGAAAATTCGCGAACAAACGAGCGAGCTGCTATTCTATAAAAAAGTGTTGGAGCATTCAACGCTCATTCAAAATGACTAATCAATGAACATGATTTTGTGATATGAACATAAAGCAGTTACCTGATATTGCTGTCAGTATTATTAACATCTTCCACGGCCGACTTCAATAAATCATCAAATAAATTTATCATTGTATTATCGCTCTCCGACTGCGAGACAAACACCTATAATATGAAGAGGATGTGCAAATATTTTAGCGATTCATGGTAGAACTTCTTCAATAACTGATAACTGCTAACCTCAGCAAGTGAATAGTTTGCAGTAGGCAAATGAACTGCTTTGAGCGCCTCCAAAATTGCATCACGACGAAACGAAATCACAGATTCTGAAAAAAAATCAACAAACAATAGAGAACAAAAAAGAATGGAATCCTTTCCATGAGTAACCCTCGAAATTTTATAACTCACGAATGTACTGCACATGCACACGTCAACAAATTATAAACGTGCATCAATCTTCAACACAAACTAATTACGAAGTTTCAAATACCACTTTTAATGTGCGTGAATTTTCAAAAATTTCTCAGTACAAATCAGGTCTGGTCGCTGGTCAAGCGTACACCCTAGAGCAGCATTCCAAAAAATGCGATTCAGTCGTCTGATAATAACATACCGTTGCTCGTTGATATTGCCAATTTGCACCATCGCGGTAAATAGCTTAAGCCCTCTTCAATGACTTCATCACGATTTGCGGCCGAATTCACTGTTTCACCTATGTCACAAACACATCACTGAATTATCAGCAGTGGATATTCATAAGTGATACTCCGTCAATATATCACCCCCCCCCCAAACAAAAAAAAACAAAAATTCACCACCAACCTTTAATGATCATAACCAACCAATTGAAAACATTTTCGATGATTTGTTTCGATGTGCTCGGATGACAACTCACCAGCATCTCCAGCAGTGCCAATGATCGAGCGCTCAATCCCATTTCTGACTGAACAACAAACGGTTCAATATCTGAAGTAATGGCGATGATGAAGTTATTTTCCGAAAAAAACAATGGTTTTGACACCAAATGTTATATATCTCTATAGTCTCATTAATGTGCAATCTAAATTTCACAAGGTTTCAGTTTTTTCTTTTTTTGCAACTAACTACAAGTTCAACAAATTACGCGCTGGCAGTTGGATAGCTAAGGAATTATTTCAAGTTGAAGTTTCGATTTATGTGTTGACTTGAAATATTCGAATCAATGACGGATGCTGAGCAATGCCTTTAAGCTTGTAAGTCAAATTCCATTCTGATGCTAAAAGATACTATAAAAAAGAAAAAACAAATGACTCTTACTTTCCAGGAATTCGTTACAAATGTGATCGATGAGATCCGTGCTTTCCTGAAAAAAACATTAATTTACCTTCTCCATTCGGAAAAGTCATTCACTATAGTCAGTTTCCCGAATACCTCAAGTAATAACTGAAATGCAACGAACATTCTGAATCATTCAGCGAAAGTTAAAGACATACACTATTGACATCTGATGATGATGACAGTTTCTGCATAATTTCTTTGATCGCTGCAATAATTTCAGATGGCATTGTAGCAGATTTTGTGGCTGGATTCAATGCTATCATTCGGATACCCGCCAACAAATCGTCCAGTTGTTCACGGAGTGCTCCCATTGGAAAGTTCTCGCATACTCTAGCCTGGAAATACTTGGCTCAGTTCTACTCTGACCACTTGTATCATCTACATTGTTCGTGAATCTACTATTTTCAGTAATGACCAAACAAGAATATTATCGATGTAATATAATCTTGACATGTAAAATGATGACTTAACGTAGAAACCTGAAAACTGTCAGTACGATCAAACTCACACTCAAATAACGATTGTAATAATCCAACAGATCTGTGAAACTTCTCTGATGTGAAATAAGTATGAAGAGATGGACAATGGATAAATTCGGATGAGACTCACCAAGAACGAGCAAACTTCCAACTTCACATCCTCTTCCAATTCGTCATCAACCAATTTCTCGGCAATCATCTGATACGTGAATGGTGCGAATAAATGATGTGACATCAAGCATTTCTCGCACTCACTCACCAACAAATCGCGCGTTATACCAGTCTGATCATTCACCGACTAAAAACTCACTTCAGTTCAAATATCCTCACCAATTCATCTAATACTAGATATATGACAATACATAAAATGTGTGATAATATTGCACGATACTTCAGCACTCATACAATAATATACACAGAAATATGCAAACTTCTTTAGGGAATATCTCTGAAACGCGAATTCACAATTTGTGAACAGAGAATAATATTCTAAAGTTTTTTGTCGTCTATTGTACGATTCGTTTTTGCGATCTGTTTCCAATGTAAGATTCAGTCATACAACTACTTTGCTTCTGTACTTGTTTCAAAAGTATGCCTTTGGATGTATCAGAGTCAAATGGATAAATATTAATGTCAGTTGTCAATTTTCAAAAGCTCACGGGCTTGAATTCAATTGGATAATAACATGCTACAACGTCGAACAAATCTTCAACGAAAGGCCCTGAAAATATGTGCTTTAAGACTACGGATTAATTCGAAACAAATTTCATTCATCCAAATCCAAATGTCGTCCACAGCAAAGGAATAATTACGATATTCAAATATCTTTTTCAAAAACCGATATTCAAATGTAGAAAACAATTACTGAAAAATTCAAATATGATCATTATATGAATAAATAATTTCGTTATACGAATTTATCATGATACTCACAATAATTTCATATGATTTCATATTATAATACCCACAATCAGTTTCGTAATAATGACTACTCGATGAAGATAATTCGAATGCTTACCGAATGGTGGTATCAGTTGCACCACTTTGTAAAACAATCGGAATGCGATCATCAGACACCGTGGATCGCGCTCTCCTGTCATCGAGCGGATGAAACCCAACAAAAATTCGACACCCATCGCACGAACCCCTTCAAATATCAGCATTATTTCTTTCCACTTTCCACTCAGTCCATCGAATGACCAAGCAAACCTGACGAAGAGAATTTTTAAAAAATGAAAACCGCAGAACAGGAATGAAAAGTAGCAGAAAAAATCTAATAGTCGAACCGTCAACACGTTCCCTGATAAAATATTCGAGCACTTCGAATAACGCGAAACGATCTTTCTGACCCCATTCTTGAAGATTACCATCGATGAACAACCTCTGAATAATGCTCTTCTCACATCCCACTGGAAGATTCGCAAACGATAAAACCTAAATGATAGTAGCATCACCATGGGCAAGATAAACTGATGTTATCAATATGAAATATCACCTATTCTCTACATTTTGTGAGCATATCACCAACACTTTAAATCACTGATCTGTTGAAACTTCATCGCATGTTATCAATAGTTATATGCGTGCAAATTACTACATCATTACCCGCATTTACATTTCTAATAGTAAAAGCAACAAAACAAATTTTGTTTGCCATAAGATGATGAAGGAATAAATGGTATAAAGTCAACGAACCAGATGTTTAATGCCAAGAACAACGGTGCCATCAGCCAATAAAGACTCATCAAAACGACTCAGTAAAAAATTGATCAGCAATTCAACTGAAACGATTCCGAGTGAAAGGTCAATAGTTAGTAAAATCACGATAGATGTGAAATATTCAGCAGCTTATGGCCAAGATAAACATGAAAAGTTAATCTCTTATAAGGACTAATTTGAGAGAGCCATTCAACTTGCACTTTCAATGAAAAAGAAATGGTAATCCCGTCATAATTACACCATAAAACAACGGTCTACTATTTTAACGGAATACATTCGTCTTGTATACACTTACTCAACGGGAAATTATTATAATCACCAGTACACTGCAATGATAATTTAATCCAAAATATAATTAACCAGCACAATTAATCAAAATGTATCTGGTATTGAGAACAGAGTCGCTCAAGGCCATAATCGTATAAACCAGCATCGAAACATCGGAAAGCAGTACTTACCCTCTTTTGAATCCAAAAAGTTANCGGGTAATTTGCACAGCACGGAAACGATCACTTCGATTGCTCGTTCACGTACATCTGCGTCTTTATTTGTTATGCGTGGCCTGAAGAATCATTCTCAAGTGAATTTACCGCATCAATAAGCAATATTCTGGATCCAAATCCGAACCGATGGAAAGGATAAATGATAAAGCTTTACATGAAACAAAGACTGCATTACCAGTGCGACTGAATCACTAATAATATCAGTTGAAAACGAAATAAACCACTAATAATGAAATGAATGAACCTACCCAAGAAATTCAATAAACTCTGCCAATGACATCGACTTTTTAATAAGTTTTTCGGTTGATTCGGACACTAGTTCGACATCATTAAGATTATGCAAATCCATCGTCAGTGGCTTCGATATCGCTGAAAATTGCACACGAAGTTTCGCACAAATTGCGGCGGAAGAAGATCGTCAAATCAACAGGATTCGTTGAAATCAGCAATATTCACATTTCACAATTCGGGATTCCTGCTGTGGCAAATTGTTTGGTAAGCATTACCTCCATTGAAAATGTGTTGTCACTAAAACACGAGCTGAAGGAAAAATGGAGTGCATATTTTCAAGAAAAATAGGAATGAGAGCATATCAATGATACATCAAAAGTGAATGAGAAAATTAGTGAGACATAATGAAACGTTAGTGCAGTGAATGGAAACTGATCTGAGAGTGATGAGACATTATCAGAATCTGACACGAGAGCTAAACAGAGAATGTCGAGAATGAATAGATTACAGGAGAATGGTTTCTGATGGAAACAACTATTCAAAAGGAACGTTTGTTTCCCGTGTTCCTATACACGACTCTCTTCTAGTTGTCTCTACATGATTTTCATGTCTATTCCCGATGGTGTTTCATTACTCTCATACCTTCCATTCACTTTTACATAACAACTGCATCATATTTTTTTATTCACTTCGAACATATCACTGATTCGCTCTCATTGCTGTCCTT